CCCCCTCTCCACCCCCAAAAACCGCTCTGCCAAAACCCCAGGCCGAGATAGCGGCTGCTCAAGCAGGGAGCACGGACCGAGGGGTGCTCCCACGGAGCGCCTGATGGAGACACAGCCGCCGCAGCGCTACGAGCTTTTAATGAGCTACGAACTCAGCTTCGGTTTTCCAGATGGAGGAAAAAAAGCCACATCACAAGCACGGCCAAAACTGCTACAATTTGCCAAAGGAACTGCTCTTGCTTGGGAACGGACCAGGTCGGGGCCAGGCTAGCGCGACGCATGAACCGCCCGTCACCCTGCAGGGCGGCCCTGCCACATCGGGTCAGTGGAACGAGCAAGGGCTCGGTTTCCATCTCCGCAGGTCCTGAAGTCTTCCAACATCTACGCCTGCAGTTACGTGGAAAGGAGAGCAAGCTGGAGCCAGTGGATCTGCACAGCCTATTAAAACCTTCTCATTTATTTCAGCGCTCTTTCCACAGAGCTAAAGTTTGCTTGTTCTACGCTACACTTTCACCAGCCTTGGAAAGCAAGCCGCGAGCTGTCTGGTGCGAGGTGAAAGCGCGAGGTCTCATCTATCATTTCAGAGTCAGTTAAGTTAGAAGCAACCTCTGGAGGTCTCTGGCCCAACCCCTTGCTCAGAGCAGGGCCAACTGCAAAGCTGCGTCCAACTGGTCATCTCCAGGCAAGGCTTTCACTAGCAAACACCCCAGCAGCAGCATGCAGGCACACGTGCTTCCTCTCTCAGCATAACTCTTTACCAGAGGGAGTAATCCAGCAGTGACCCCGCTGCGTATAACATACCCATGAGCTCACGTGCGCTACCTGACCTCCAATCACAGCAACGCCTGGCGTGTCTGCTCTACGTGGGCACCGCTTTCCATGCAAGTTTTCAGAACTGAGTCATCTTCAGCACCACTACTCCTTGGCTCAGAGTGGGTTAAAATCAGCCAATGGGTTCAAAAATGATTGCAGACACATGGATGGACAGACAAAAGCATGCACACACATGATCATATAAGCCTCTTTCCATAGGAAATCTGGCTAAAACACTCACCTTGCACACCTAAACCGCTCTAATAAGTTTTAACACTCATATTTCCATATGGTAGATTAACAGAAGTGCCAAGAACAGATGTATCACCCCATCAGGTTTGGGGAAGAAAGCTGGGCCTCCAAGCAGTACCGAAGGAAGCTGGATGTTCTCCTCTGACAAACTAGCTCTGAAGCCTTGCAAATTTGTCAAGGAGCAGATAATCAGCTTAAAAGAGCATCTGCAGGTTACCAAGCCAGAGATCTCCAAAAGGACTCATGCCCTGTCTAACAAAGCCAAGCAACCTCCCAAGTACATGTTGCAGCCTGCTACAAAGAAGGGGGAAGTACCTCCTCCGCACGCCTTCGAGCACTGAGACCAGCTCTTGAGGGCCCACTCGTAGGAATCCATCTCTTCCAGCAGGACGTTGTTGTTTCCAATCATGGGCAGCAGGTCCTCGTGGATGATGTACCTGTACATCAGGCTGCTCTTCGCCTCCTCCTCCTGAGGGACGACCTGGAGGCAGAGAAAGGACGATCGAAGTGGAGCAAAGAGGGGAAGGGAAGGAGACCGTGGGAAGGGAGAAAGGAGGAGAGAATCAGAGACAAAGCAATGAACAAGGCCAGCGTGGTACTGTACACAGAACATAAAGAGCAGGAGAAACTAAAAAATACAAGAGTTTCACAGGAGTGAAATTTAACAAGTGACAGCAGTAAGAGAGAGAGTAAATACCCATTTCAAATCCAGAAATCTCAGGCCAGTCCAAACCCTTTATTATCTCCAACAGGATTAGTTGGGCCACGAGCACTCACAGCCTACCCCGGGGGAACGTACCTCTCCAGTTGCACGTTTGGGCAGCGCTTTCCTTCTCAAACTCCAGCCTTGGCTTGCATGCCCCTGGCCTCTGCCCCGACCTGCAGAACCACATTCTGCGCCGAAAGCAAACGCCGGTCGCGGGGATGGGGACGGGAGCTCAGAGCTAACCTTCCCTGGATTACCCAGAGGATCTGATCTCTAACTCAGGGACAAACACCTGAGCAAAGCACCCTTACGCTATTCTTGTGCTCAGTTGATAGCGAAATGAGCTAGCTGAGCTCAAGTGACAGTTTTTAGTGACACGCCCTATACCCTTTCTCTGTAAAATTCTTCCATCGCCTCCTGCGTCCCGTCCCAGACCGTCCTCCTTCTCCGCATCGCTGCGCGACGGTCGCCCAGGCTCTCCCAGGGGACGCGTCGGCAGGACTCACCAAAACGCTGATGGCTTCGTGCAGAGGGCCGCTGGTTTTCAAGCTTTCCTTGCCATTTTCAACAGCGTATTCCCATTCTAAGCCCATCCCGATGAACACTTTGCTTTTGGCCTCTTTGCCCTTGGCATTAAGGATGAAGTCCCCTGTGGCTTGATTCTTAACAGCTGGAGAAAAGAAGTAGGTATTTATAAAGTCATTTCTTCTGGCCACTGCCTTCGAAGGACAGCGCAATGCCCCAGACAAGGTCCTCCCAGCAGGGTTTGTCAGAACGGGGCTTCGAGGTGAGAATACTCCCGGCAGAGCACAAGTCTCTGAAGCTCCTCTAAGCGGACGGTCTTGACCGACGCGTCCAGCACACTAACCCCGGACATCCCCCCTTGCACACTCCCGCATATGCCCCCCCTGCTACTGTGGTCCTCAGGACGGACCAACGGCTATACTGGGCTGGCCAGAATGCCAGAAGATTTCGTGAGGCAGGAAAGGATCGACTTCGCCCAGGAAGAGAGGCCCAGATCTACTCGTTTCGCTCAAGCAGGAGCTGGGCATTAAAATAGCCTTTTGCTCTCGATTACCACCCTCCAGGTGCGATGAGCTCCCTGCATTTCCTGCCTCCTCTGAAAGGGTGGCTCATGCAACTTTTAAGAAAGCTCAAGGTTTCTGTGTGGAAGTAGCACCCAGCAAAACCAATCTGCGCGCCTCTCAGCCCCCACAACAGCTCAGGACTCACCGATGCTGTGGGACGCTGGCTCCATCTCTTCTATCTGGACGTGGATGCCTACTGAAAGAGAGAGGGGGAGAGAAAGGAGGGATGGAAGGAAAGAGCAAGCTTCAGGAAAACAAACAGCAGAGCAGTGGCGTGTGCTGCACCCAGACACCACCTCTTTGGGGTGCTGCAGTGGGATGGAGGTGGCTCCGGGGTGCTCCCCGTCCCTCCAGCTCTCAGAGCCGGATGAGCTCTGCTTTGATTGCTCCGCTCTCCTGCCAGGTCTGAAGACCTGAAATATAGCAGCCACTTACTGGGACTAGTCAGCAGCCCACTCTTCCATAGCAGTGGGTCAAAAACCAGATGTGATTCAGATGCACAGCAAATCTGGGGATCCCTACTGGGAAGTTGCAAGAATACGAGGGTTTTTGTCGTCTCAATCTTTAGCGCTCGCTACTGTTTGTGGGAGCAATCCCTTAAGACGATTCAGGCTTTGCAGCTGCCAGGGCTGGAGTCTTCCCCCCAAAACCTGCCAGTCTCCCGTGGCACCCCCTTTCCCTATGTGGCGCTCCCCAGAGCTGGCCAACCGAAGGTCAGTTGGAGAATGAGCCAGACCACGGTCTGCAGAGAGAGGTGTAACACGCCATTGCCTTCTCACCCAGCTGCTTCGGGGTCTTGGCCAACGTGCCCTTCACCGTCCGGCAGTGAGAGTTGTCCCCACCGCACACGCCACACTTGTCGTCCTGCTTCAGCGAGCCGACCTCCTTGTCGCAGCCAACGTGCTGTCGCCCCAGGGCGGGAGGGAAGGACGAGGTTAGGTCTCCCCTGCTCGGCAGCTCCACGCTCGTCGTCACCACCAGCCTTCGCCACCCGTCCTGCCCTCCCCAGAGCTGCGCGCAGGGCCGGTCAGCGGGGAGGGCGAGCCCCTTACCACGCACTCGCCCCGGACGCAGATGCTGTACGGGTCTCTGTAGCTGCACCTGGTGCCGTCGTGAACCACCTGATTCATGAACACCACGTCCCCCGTCCCCTCGGACTGGCAGATCAGCTCACACTTCTGGGCATCTGAGACGAAACAAACAGGAAGGGAGAAGGGGGGGGAAAAAAGAGGAAAAACAAGTTGGTGGAAATACATTAGGTTGATCAAAAATAAAAACCCCTCTCAACTCATGCCCCTGAGCACAGCCAGAAGATTCCTCAAGTCCAGGCTCTTCCTGATGGACGTTTTACCATGTCCACTTGCTGCTCGAGAGCCTGTACTTTCACCCAGCACGCTACAGAAAGTGAGACGAGGCAGCAAATGGAAGGAGCACAACCGGACAAGCTACTCCCACACTGCAACGCGAACTGTTTGGCTGCGTGCAAGAGGAATACGAAAGCAGGCACGCGGACCTGGCTCCGATTCCAGCACGGAGCAGCGTGCGCCCCGCTGCAGCTCCACGGGACGGCAGGCAAGATCATCACCCCACTGCTTCCCTCCATGGGATGTGGACGGATCCGAGAGCAGAGTTAGCACCGCACCATCTCCAAGGAAAACAAACCTTCTGTGTGCCAAAGTACACAGAAAGGGGTAATAAAAACTTAAGATTTGTGCAAACTGATTTATCTCCATTTACGATTATGAGCAGTTCTTCAGCTGACACAGGAGGAGCAGGGAGAGGTTTCAGCACTGGCTGATTTTCTCAGCCCTCCTCTGCCGCCCTTTGGGACAGCACAAATCAGAGCAACGCCTGGGTTTCTCTAAGTTAAGGGCAAGCAGAAGAGAATTATTTGTGAGGGCTTTTGTGCCTTGTTTTCCAGCTCAGGAGCTTCCTACAGCCCAATCTCTGTGCAGCAGTCACGGTCTCCTTTCCGAGGCACTTTCCACCAGCACAGCTTCCGCTGGGAGGGAAGAAAATTTGGCTACCGCTGCTTTCTTGGGTGAGAGTCCTACTAACCAAAAGCAGCAAAGGTGGTGGGGCAATATGGGAGGGAGGTATACCTCTAGGTCTAGCTAGAGAGCCAAAACTTGCTAGAGCGCTGTAGCTCTACAGCTAGAGAGCCACCAAACTTGCACCTTCCACTAGAAATTTATTACCGTTTACTTCAAAACAATCAAGACACATCCCACACGTGACCCCGTCTGTGCCTTCACCCCAAGATACTTGTGCCATGCAACCAGATGCCTTTGTGCCACGAGACAAGGAACACCCAAACGTTGGTCACCGGCCACAGGCAGGAGAAGCACAGAGACCCTTTAAGAAAGGCAAGAGCCAGGGTCTGGCTTGGACCTGCTGAAACAATTCGCCTTCCCCATAGCTCTCTCCCTCAAAGGGGGAGGCAGCAGACAGGGGACCACACAGCAAACACAGAGGGGTACATGAAGTCCCCGTGTTGCAGGTGGGCTGCAGCTCACTCACCATCATGATGCTCGTAGGGAAGCCAGGTGTGCTTGGCGCTCTGGTGGGTGTAGTACGAGTTGCGCTTGGAGCACTGCTGGGCGCGGAAGTCCTCGTACGGCCCTGGGCACTCTTCAGGGTTGCACACTTGGTACTCGTAGGTGGCTCCCGGGCAGTGGCGCCCACCATACGCCGGACTGCAAAACACAGCCCGTAGGCGAGCAGGGCGTCAGGGCGACGCTGTTCAAACGCGACATGGCTCAGCTCTCCAATCTGACCAAGCCCCAAGGAGAAGAGCGAGGAACCTCATGCTCTCGGCCAATCCCCTTTTTACCCACGCTAAAAGACGGAGCCAAACATACGGCGGGTTGCTGCAGCTCCTGCTGCGAGAGCGTACGCCTCCCCCGCAGGTCCGGGAGCACGAGCCAAACTTGGACCAGGAGCTCCAGCTGCCGTCCTGGCTGTAAGGCTGCTCCGAGGTCTTCCAGATGCAGTGACCCTTGAAGCACCACTGCAAGGGAGCAGAGACGAGGGTTACCTACACATCTGCCTCGCCCAAAGCGCTCGGGAAGAGAGCGTTCCCGCACCCACAGGGGCGCGCGGCACCGCACGATCGTTCGCTGGATCGGCCCTGGGGATTTCTCCCCACTGCCACAGGGGGTGGCAGGAATCCAAACTCCAGCAACTGGCGCTGCAGCGAGCGGCCCAGGCCCAGCCCACAACAAGTGTCTTTGCACCCGATATTGAGCTTTGTACGTCTCCTCAGCTCTCTGAAGTAATAAGGAAGCTGAAAGATCTTCCTTACTCGTTTCTGAAGTTAGCAGGCATTTTGCTATATGAAATCCAGAGCTTCTTCCCACACGTGCACGTGGCCTGGAGTTGCCACTGCTACCCCGGCGCAAACCCACGGCGTCAACCCCATCCCAAGGTTTCACTCCAGCCCTGGGAAAAGGCAAACTGTCTCGTCGGTGCCCACTGCGACAGATAGAGAAGGTCCCCAAAGATGGCCCCTCACCGAGAGGCAAAACACCCATCAGCGCTGGAGACCGTGGTGGCCCTGGGCGCTAGCAGGAAAAGGCTGATGTTGCTGCTGTCTCACATCCACCATGGGCCTAAAGGAAGGATTTCCCAGCCCAGATGTTTCAATCATCTGGAGCCACGTGCCAGCACTACATGTAATGCATTTGCACACGTTTCAAAACGTCTAATTTTAGAAGCTCTTGGCAAACGATCATTCAAGTCCTGGGCACATGACAAGGCAGCATTTTCAGTGAGAGCGCTGTGATTTATATGGAAACTTATTAAAAGTCGCTGGATACTTTGAACACATCCATTCTCTGGGCAAAAGAATTTTGATCGCAAATTTGCTTAAGTGATAGGGAAACGGAAGGGGGACATTCACCCCAAAAACTTTTACCAGCTTGCCAAACAGATGACCTTCTCTCAACAGCATGCTTTTGGGCAATCACTCCAAAAAAGTAAAGCTTTCAGCTGTCGTGCTGAAGGGAACCCAAATTTGACTTAGTCCAGCAGCTTTCCCAATGCATCCCCACTTTCACACCGTGATAACGGGCATGCTAAGAAAACCCAAAGTGAACCCCATGACATCATGAGCCTGGATGCGTGACGTCACTTCTTCTGGCCACGTGACAGAAGGAGCACTGCTGCTCTCGAGAGCCGGGCAGCAAGGGCAGATGGCTCAGAAGAAAAAGTCCTTGTTTGAACACAGTTGCACTGGATAATTGGAGAGGAAAAGAGGAATAGTGCCACTTCTTCAAGCAAGAGAGGGCTGCTGAGTGGAAGGAAGGACTTTGAAGGAGCTAATTTGGAGCATTCCTTAGCACAAAGGACTTCCTCAAAGGCTTTCCTAAAAACTCAGCACCCATACCTTACGTGGCTGTGTGAACCCGTCGGCGCAGGGGTGTGGGGGGGGTGGTTCATACAGAGCCTGCTACACCCAGGCACCGTGGGAGAGGCAGCGTGCAGCGATACCTTGCCCGACGAGCACTCGGTCCCATCCAGCGGGGGCCCCTTCTTGGTCTTGCAGAAGTAGGGGTTGTCCGGGTGGCTGCACCACAGCTGCTTGCAGGGGTCGAAGGTCCGGAACTGCAAACCAGACAGGAGGGCGGCCGTCACATCCACGGGGACACCCCCATGCATTCACACCGCCCTCCCTAGCCCCTGGAGACCCCTTCCCCAAGGGGAGGGAAGGACGGTGGAGGATCCCGGCGAGCACACAACGTGCCGATACGCCCCCGGGCTTGGGTGGCGGCCTGTGCCAGCTCTGCAGGACCCAGGACCCCGGGTTGGCTCTGTAAGCGCCCATGCTCCCCGTGCAACGGTGAGGTACGCCCCACCAGCCAGCTCCACAAGCCTTCCTTGTCCTTCTGCAGCCGGAGGCGGGCAAGGGAAAAGCAACGCGGGGGCCGTACTCACTGCTGTGCACGTTTTGTAACCCACGCCGAAATCAAAGCGGCACTGCTCATCCATGGAGTAATTAATCCCTGGGAGTTCGGGTAACTTGGGCCACTGGTGCTCAAAGGGATCATCCAGCAGGCAATCGTAGGAGCTGCAGAGACATCAGCGGGAGGCAAGCAAAGGGTCAGGTGCTGAGGAGCTCCCTCCGTCATTCTTTCCATTACCTTCACCCTCCTCCCTGATATCAAGGGATCGGGGTTTTCTCGGCCCTGATGCAAAAGCCTACCCACTGCCGCAAAACGTGTTTTCTCACCAGCTGAGCTGCCAAAGAACAACTGGCCAGAGTATCTGAATAAAAAGCATCCAGCTGCTGTTTGCAGTCTCCTCGGGAGACGGACCACCTTAACGCTAGCAGGTACTGTCACCACAACCTGTTCAGTTTTCAGGATTTATCTGCGTTTGTCTGCACTCCACCAACAGAGAACTTCTGCAAACTTGCGTGCCACGGATCTCTGCAGCTTTGATTAGCCTACCGCTTGTCTTGACCAGGCTACTACTACGCCGCCCGAACGGAGGACGTCAGCGGCTCGCATCGACCTACTGTATGTAGCTCTCCTGCTTGCTGCAGCGGGACCAGTGGTAGCGGTGGAAGGCAGCCTGCACCAGCGGCGCCATGATGCTCCCCATGCTGGTCTCGTCCGCGCAGCGGTTGCCCTGGCCGTCATGCTCCATACCTAACCTGTTGGAAAAGCCTGTGAGCCACCTTCCCTGGGGCTTCGGCCCCACATCAGCCCATCGTATCTATTCAAGACGGCGTTTAGGCTGTGCTTCTTGCTCCGCTTTAACATAGGAGGCAAGCTCTGCCTGTAGGTTCCCTGTCAGGGCTTTAAGGAGGATGCTGGGGCCACGCTGGTGAGGCTGCAGGGTTTGGGATGGGCACGGAGAGGCATTTGAGAAGGGCAAAAGGAAACAATCGGATTCTAGTGATTACATATCCAGAATCCCCTTCAGATGTACAAAAAAAAAGCACGAGTGCTACTAGCTGTTCATTAAGAAATCCCCTTTGCAAAGCACACTCCACTACAGATGTCCTGCCCTGATTGCTGGCAGAGGTAAAACAATTTGGAGGAGGAAGAGACCCATCCATCCCAGCGCTGCTCATCGCGGACTGATGAACTAGCGTGACGATGGCAGCAGGGCCTCGGTCACCTTACCCGCAGCCCAGCC